GTCTTCACAGTGGAGGACACTAATAACATACCAGTAATTGACAAAGAGACGAAGGTAGGTGAGGACCTGGAAACAATCATAATTACGGAAGAGGTAGTGTTGGGCAAGCTAATGGAGCTAAGGATTGATAAGTCTCCTGGCCCTGATGGAATGCATCCCAGGGTACTAAAAGAGATGGCGGGAGAAATAGCAGGTGCACTGGCGGTAATTTTCCAAAATTCGCTGGACTCTGGGGCAGTCCCAGCAGATTGGAAAACAGCAAATGTGACGCCACTGTTTAAAAAGGGAAGTAGACAAAAGATGGGGAATTATTGACTGGTTAGCTTAACCTCTGTAGTGGGGAAGATGCTTGAGTCTATTATCAAGGAAGAAATAGCAAGGCATCTTGATAGAAATTGTCCTGTTGGGCAGATGCAGCATGGGTTCATGAAGGGCAGGTGATGCTTGACAAACCTTTTGGAATTCTATGAAGACATTACGAGCGAGGTGGACAATGGGGACCCAGTGGATGTGGTATACCTAGATTTCCAAAAGGCCTTTGACAAGGTGCCAGGGTAAGGGATATCTCTGACCGGCTTGAAAGGATATTGGAGCGGGAGGGGGAGGATCCAGTTGTTGTGGTCCACGCCGGAACAAATAACATAGACAAGAGAAAAGACGACCTGTTCAGAGATTATCAGGAGCTAGGAACCAAATTAACGAACATGTCCTCAAGGGTTATAATCTCTGGATTACTGCCTGAGCCACGTGCTAATTGGAATAGGGACGTGAGAATAAGGGAAGTAAACACGTGGCTAAAAGAATGGTGCGGGAAAGAGGGGTTCCTTTTCATGGGGCACTGGCATCAGTATTGGAACAGGAGGGATCTGTACCATTGGGACGGTCTCCACCTGAATCGAGGTGGGACCAATGTTCTAGCGAAAAGGGTAAATAAGCTGGTCAACAGAACTTTAAACTAGAAAGTGGGGGTTGAAGGGAATGGTGAAACTTGCCCCAGTGGGAAACAAAGCAGTAGGTTAACATCTGTAGTGGTGGATTCAATTACGTAGAAAAATATGAAAGAAATGACAGGGAAGCAGAACTCAGGAGAGGTTATTAAAGTCTCCAGCACAGACACAAGTAGGACAGAGTGTTTGGAAAGGGCTAGCAATCAAACACTGGAAAAATGAATGACAATGGGAAGATGGAGGGTTAATACAGGACTGAAGGTGTTATATTTGAATGCACACAGTATAAGGAATAAGGTAAGTGAGCTTGTGGCGCAGATCAAAATTGGCAGGTATGACATGGTGGGCATCACGAGACATGGCTGCAAGGGGTTCAGGAGTGGGAACTGAATATCCAAGGATATACATCCTATTGAAAAGATAGGCAGGTGGGCTGATGGGGTGGGGTTGCCTCATTAGTAAGAAATGGAATTAAATCAACAGGAAGAAGCGAAGTGGGGTCAGATGGTGTAGAATCTGTATGGGTAGAATTGAGGAACCGCAAAGGTAAAAACCATAGTTGGAGTTGTGTACAGGCCTCCAAACAGTAGTCAGGAGCTGGGCCGCAAGATACACCAGGAGATAGAAAAGGAGTGTAAGAAAGGCAAAGCCACAGTGATCATGGGGGATTTCAATATACAGGTGTACTGGGAAAATCATGTTGGTAGTGGATTGCAAGAAAAGGAATTTGTGCAATGTCTACGAGATGGCTTTTTGGGGCAGCTCGTGGTGGAGCCCACAAGGGAACAGCCAATACTGGATTTAGTGTTGTGCAATGAGGCAGACTTGATAAGGGAGCTTAAGGTGAAGGAACCTTTAGGAGGCAGTGATCATAAGATGATAGAATTTACTCTGCAATTTGAGAGGGAGAAGATAGAATCAGAGGTAACAGTATTACAGCTGAATAAAGGCGACTACAGAGGTATGAGGGAGGAGCTGGGCAGAATTGATTGGAAGAGGAAACTAGCAGGAAAGACAGTGGAACAGCAATAGCAGGAGTTTCTGGGAGTAATTCAGGAGACACAGCAAAAATTCATCCCTAGGAAAAAGAAGCATGGTACAGGGAGGATGAGGCAACCATGGCTGACCAAGTCAGGGATAGCATAAAAGCAAAAGAGAAAGCATATAATGTGGTGAAGGGCAGTGGGAAACCAGAGGACTGGGAAACTTACAAAGACCAACAGAGGGCAACAGCAAAAGAAATAAGGAGGGAGAAGATTAAATATGAGGGTAAGCTATCCAATAATATAAATGAAGACTGTAAGAGTTTCTTTAGATATATAAAGGGCAAAAGAGAGGCAGAAGTGGACATTGGACCACTGGAAAATGACGGTAGAGAGATAGTAGTGGGGAACAAGGAAACGGCTGAGGAACTGAGTAATTACTTCGCATCAGTCTTCACAATGGAAAACACGAGTAATGTCCCAAAAATTCCAGAGAGTCGGGGGGCAGAGCTGAGTATGGTGGCCATCACCAAGGAAAAGGTGCTAGTAAAACTGATTGGCCTGAAGGTGGATAAATAACCTGGACCAGATGGACTACACCCCAAAGTTCTAAAGGAGATAGCTGAAGAGATAGTGGAAGCGTTAGTGGTGATCTTTCAGGAATCACTAGAGTCAGGGAGGGTTCCAGAGGACTGGAAAATAGATAACGTGACACCCTGTTTAAAAAGGGAGTAAGGCAAAAGACGGAAAATTACAGGCCGATTAGCCTAACCTCAGTCATTGGTAAGATTTTGGAGTCCATTGTGAAGGATGAGATTTCTGAATATTTGGAAGTGCATAGTAAAATAGGGCAAAGTCAGCATGGTTTCACCAAGGGGAGGTCATGTCTGACAAATCTGCTAGAATTCTTTGAGGAATTAACGAGCAGGGTAGACCAAGGAGAGCCAATGAATGTTATCTACCTGGACTTCAAGAAGGCCTTTGACAAGGTGCCACACAGGAGGCTGCTGAGTAAGATAAGGGCCCATGGTGTTACAGGCAAGGTCCTAGCATGGATAGAAGATTGGCTGTCTGGCAGAAAGCAGAGAGTGGGGATAAAAGGGTCTTTCTCAGGATGGCAGTGGGTGACAAGTGGTGTCCTGCAAAGGTCGGTGCTGGGACCACAACTTTTCACTTTGTACATTAATGATTTAGATGAAGGAACTGTGGGCATTCTGACTAAGTTTGCAGATGATACAAAGATAGGTAGAGGGACAGGCAGTATTGAGGAGGTGGGGAGGCTGCAGAAGGATTTGGACAGATTAGGGGCATGGGCAAAGAGATGACAGATGGAGTACAACGTGGGAAAGTGTGATGTCATGCACTTTGGTAAGAAGAATAAAAGCATGGACTATTTTCTAAATGGGGAGAAAATTCAGAAGTCTGAAGTGCAAAGAGACTTGGGAGTTCTAGTCCGGGATTCTCTCAAGGTAAACTTGCAGGTTGAGTCAGTAGTTAGGAAGACAAATGCAATGTTGGCATTTATTTTGAGAGGATTTGAATATAAAAGCAGGGATGTACTACTGAGGCTTTATAGGGCTCTAGCCAGGCCACATTTGGAGTATTGTGCGCAGTTTTGGGCCCCATATCTCAGGAAGGATGTACTGGCCCTGGAGCGGGTTCAGAGGAAGTTCATGAGAATGGTCCCAGGAATGAAAAGCTTAACAAATGAGGAACATTTGAGGATTCTGGGAGTATACTCATTGGAGTTTAGAAAGATGAGGGGGGATCTAATTGAAACTTACAGAATACTGAATGGCCTGGACAGAGTGGATGTTGGGAAGATGTTTTCATTTGTAGGAGAGACTAGGACCCGAGGGCACAGCCTTAGAGTAAAGCAAAGATCTATTAGAACAGAGATAAGAAGAAACTTCTTCAGCCAGAGAGTGGTGAATCGATGGAATTCACTGCCACAGAAGGCTGTGGAGGCCAGGTCATTGAATACATTTAAGACTGTGATAGATAGGTTCTTGATTATCAAGGGGATCAAGGGTTACGGGGAGAAAGCGGGAGAATGGGGTTGAGGAACTTATCAGCCATGATTGAATGGCAGAGCAGACACAATGAGCCGAATGGCCTAATTTCTGCTCCTATATCTTATGGTGTTATGGTGTTGGCAGAAGGGTGTTTTTCAGGCTGGAGGTCCGTGACTAGTGGTGTTCCACAGGGATCCATACTGGGACCTCTGCTGTTTGTGATATATATAAATGACTCAGATGAAAATATAGATGGGTGGGTAAGTAAGTTTGCAGATGGTACAAAGATTGGTGGAGTTGTGGATAATGTAGAAAGTTGTCAAAGGATACAGCGGGATATAGATCAGTTGCAGATACGCGTGGAGAAATGGAGATGGAGTTTAATCCGAGCAGGTTTGAGGTGCTGCACTTTGGAAAATCAAATGTTAAGGAAAGTATACAGTTAATGGCAGGATTCTGAATAGCATTGATGTACAGAAGGATCTTGGGGTTCAAATCCATAGCTCCCTGAAAGTTGCCACATAAGTAGATAGTTTGGGTAGGAAGGCATATGGCATGCTTGCCTTTTTTGGTCGGGGAATTGAGTACAAAAGCCAAGATGTCATATTGCAACTTTATAAGACTTTAGTTAGGCCACATTTAGAGTATTACGTTCAATTCTGGTTACCACATTACTGGAAGGATGTGGAGGCTTTGGAGAGGGTGCAGAAGAGGTTTACCAGAATGGTGCCTGGATTAGAGGGTATAGGCTATAAGGAGAGACTGGAAAAATTTGGTTTGATTTCTCTTGAGAGGCTGAGGGGAGATTTGTTAGAAGTCTATAAAATGATGAGAAACATAGTTAGGGTTGATGGTAAGCATCTTTTTTTGCCGGAGTTGAAATGTCCAATGTTAGGGGGCATGCATTTAAGGTTAGAAGGGAAATGTTCAAAAGAGATGTGAGGGATAAGTTTATTTTTACAGAGTGGTTGGAGTCTGGAACGCACTGCCAGGGATTGGTGGTGGAGGCAGATACGATAGGGGCATTTAAGGGACTTTTAGATAAGCGCACGAATATGCGAGAAATAGAGGCATATGGACCTATGGTAGGCAGAAGGGATTAGTTTTGTTTGGTGTCATGTTCGGCACAACATGGTGGGTCAAAGGGCCTGTTCTGAAGCATAATCTTAGAATTAGTGGTTGTGCATTTAAGGCGGAGATGAAAAGAAATTTCTTGAATTGTGAATCTGTGAAATTCATTACTGCAGAAGGCTTTTGAGAATTGCTCATAAAGTATATTCAAGACTGAGATTGACAGATTTTTAACTAGTCAGGGAATCAAGGGTGTTGGGGAAAAGGCAGAAAATTGGAGTTGAGGATTATTAGATCGGCCATGGTCTCATTGAATGACAGAGCAGACTCGATGGGCTGAATGGCCTATTCTTGCTTCTATGTCTTATGGTCTTACAAGAATGGGGGAAAGGAGGGGTTTTGGGGAGGGGTTGCTTGGCATGGGAATGGGAGAAGGAACTGGGAGCACTCATTCATATCCTCATTAACTCTCCCCAATGAACTGTATGGTTTCTTCCACTTGAAGATTCACTTTAAACATTTGTTGTTTTTAGGCCTGTATATTTCAAGAATTTCGAATTGAGGAGGACTCTGTGATGTTTGTAATAAATCTAACAGTTCTCCTTGACTGTCTCACAATATTTAGTGCAAGTTCCCTGCCAGGTAAATGTATTTTGATAATTTCAGACTTGAACCCATTAAAATACAAACACTTTTAAAAGTAAAATGACTGAACATTGAACTGGAGCTATCACTCACTTCCTTTCTTTGTAGGAGTGACAACAGCCCTGAGGATGTGTTATCGTGGATACGGATATCCATTGACACTGTTTCTGGAGGAGAGTGGTGTGGTAACTGTCTGTAAGATTCAGACTCAGGAACCAGAGGAAACTCTTGACTTTGACTTCTGTAGCACAAATGTTGTAAATAAAATAATTCTGCAATCAGAGAGCCTTCGGGAGGCTTTTGCTGAGCTCGATATGAGCAGTGAGGTGCTACAGATCACAATGTCTCCAGAAAAACCCAATTTCAGGTACTGAATTAACTTCAAACTCAAATAGGCCTTAACAAAGGCGCGTCATAATCTGTGTCTGACATTCTTCAACGTTCTAACTTTTACATTTTGCTCAGGAGGAAGCTTTTCAGCCCTCACTACAAGAAGTAGAAATAGGAGTAGGCTGTTCAGCCCCTCAAGACTGCTATGCCATTCCTTAGGATAATGGCTAATTCAGCATTTCTCATATCCATCTTCCTGCCATTTCCCCATAACCCTTGATTCCCTGACCTATCTTGGCCTTAAATATGTACAAGGACCCTACTCCCACAGCTCTCCATGGCAATGAGTTCCAAAGACTAGCAACCCTCTGAGAGAAGAACTTCCTCGTCATCTCAGTTTTAAATTGGTGCCCCTTTATTCTGAGACTATATGGTCTGGTCTTCGACTCTCCGAAGAGGGGAAACATCTTCTCAGCATTAACCCTGTCAAGCCCCTTAAGAATCCTCTATTTTCAATGAGATTCTCTCTCATTCTTCTAAACTCCAGTGGGAAAAGTACCGACCTATTCTTGTATGAGCCTTTGCTCATAAGACGATCCCTCCATAGCAGGGATCATCCTAGTAAACCTCCTCTGAACTAGTTTCAGTGTAACAATATCCTTCCTTAAATAAAGGGAACAAAACTGCTCATAATACTCCAGATTTTTGTTTTAATTCATTCATGGTACTGTCATGGCATCAGTGGCTAGGCCAGCATTTATTTCCCAGCGCTAATTGTCCAGACAGCAGTTGGGAGTCAACCATATTGATGATCCAAATGTGGTATCACCAACACATTATACAATTGCAGAAAGACTTCCCAGCTGTAATGCAAAAACATAAATTGGTGGAAAAACTCAACAGGTCTGGCATCATCTGTGGAGAGAAAGCTGAGTTAATGTTTCGGGTCCAGTGACCTTTCTTCGAATGGTTTTTGACCCCCAATTCTCTGCATGTTCATGTGTCCGTCTGAATGCCTCTTAAACTTTGCTAGCACGTATAGAGAGGTGGTCAGACCACAGGCTAAAAAGGCAGAAAGGGAATGGGTGACCACCAGGCAGAGTAAGAGAACTAGTCAGGCCATGCAAGAATCCTTTGTGGCCATTCTTGAGAAACAGATATATCGCTTTGGATACTGTTGGTTGGTTGAAAATTTGGAAATGGCCCCACAGGAGCAAACAGTAATGGCCAAATTCATGGGGACAGTAGAAATGTAATTGTTATAGAGGATTCAATTATAAGTGAAATAGATAGGCATTGACCAGGAATTGACCAGACAACTTCTGACATAGACATTGTCCACATGGATTTTAACAAGGCTTTTGACAAGGTACCGCATGGTGGATTGTCGAGCCAGGTTAAATCTCATGGGATCCAGGAAGAGCTAGCCAATGGATACAAAATTGGCTTCAAGGTAGAAGCTAGAGGGCGGTGGTAGAGGGTTATTTTTCAAACTGGAGGCCTGTGACCAGCGGTGTGCCAAAGGGATCAGTGCTGGGTCCTCTGTTGTATGTCATTTATATAAATGATTTGGAAAAGAACTTAAGAGGTATGGTTAGTAAGTTTGTGGATAACACCAAGGTTGGTGGTATAGTGGACAGTGAAGAAGGTTATCTGAGAATACAGCGAGATCTTGATTAACTGGACCGTAGACGTCAGGCTCACCGGTTTATAGTTTCCTGGATTATCCCTGCTTCCTTTCTTAATCTCCAGTCCTCTAGAACCTCGCCCATGATCAAAGAGGATGTGAAGATATCTGCTAATGCCCCAGCTATTTCTTCCCTTGCCTCTCTCAGTAACCTAGAATAGACCCCATCTGGCCCTGGGGATTTGTCTACCTTAATGAAATTTAGGATACTCAAAATTTCCTCTTTCAATGTATTGACATTCTTTAGAGTATTCACACTCTCATCCTTGACCTCAACATCAGTCATGCCCTTCTCCTTGGTGAATACTGATACAAAATACTCATTAAGGATCTCCCCCACTTCCTGAGGCTCCATGCATAACTTTCCTCCTTTGTCCTTGAGGGCGCTGACTCTTTTCCTTGCTACCCTCTTTCTTCTAATATATGTGTAAAAAGCCTTGGGATTCTTCTTGACCCTGTTTGTTAAAGACATATCATGGCCCCTTTTAGCCTCCTGTAGACAAGGAATTCCTAGGGTGTATATGGAATGATTTTCTGGACCAATATGTTGAGAACCAACTAGAGAACAGGCTATCCTATACTGGGCATTGTGTAATGAGAGCGCAATAATTGGTAATGTAGTTGGGAGAAGCACCTTGGGAATAGTGACGATAATATGATAGAATTCCCCATCAAGGTAGAGAATGAGGTAGTTGATTCTGAGACAAGGATCCTGAATCTTAATAATGGAAGCTACAACGGTATGAGGTGGGAGTTGATAACGATAGTTTGGGAAATCTTACTGAAAAAAGTGATGGTGGATAGGCAATGCCAAACATTCAAAGAGCAAATGGGTGATATGCATAAATTGTTTATTCCTGTTTTGTGCAAGAGTGCAAAGAGAACATTGGGCAGGCCATGGCCTACAATGGAAGTTAGAGAGTATTAGATACAAAAATGAGTCATACAAATTGGCAAGAGAAAACAATAGATCTGAGGATTGGGAACAGTTTAGAAGTCAGCAAAGGAAGATCAAGGGATTGATTAAGAAGGGAAAA